CGCTCGGAGCATCATCAAAAAATCGTCGTTTTATGACGTCGAATTTTCAAAAGTTTTTCGTTTTCCGTTTAAAGTAGTCTTGCTATAGGGACCTGGGTGCGAATTGTGCGCGCCCCGATTTTCCAAAATCGCCCCCGTGCGGAACATCCTCAAAATTCATGATTATCTTTATCCCGTGCGAGACATTTGGAATTTTTCGCGTTTTTTGATCCTTAAATTTTCAACAATCGCGTTCTTGCTCGGAACATCATCAAAAAATCGTCGTTTTGTGACATCGTATTTTTCAAAAGTTTTTCGTTTTCCTTTTAATTAGTCTTGCTGTAGTGACCTGGGTGCAAATTGGACGCACCCCGATTTTCCAAAACCGCGCTCCCGTGCGGGACATCCTCAAAATTCATGATTTTGTTTACTCAAAAGTCGCGCTCCCGTGCGAGACATTTGGAATTTTTCGTGTTGTTTTGATCCTTAAATGTTCAACAATCCTGCTGTTGCTCCCGTGCCGAGCATCCTCAAATTTTCGTCGATTTCTTCGCTCAAAATTGCGATCCTGAGCAGTGTATCCCGGTAATTAGTGAGTAGTTTTTCGTCGACTTCTTCGGCAAACGTCGCGCTCCCGTGCGGAGCATCCTCAAATTCTTGAAGAAAATCGCGCTCCCGTGCGGAGCATCCTGAAAATCCGGAGGAAAATTGCTCTCCCGTCCGGAGCATCCTGAAAATTTCGTCGACTTTTCGTTCAAAATCGCGCTCCTGTGCGGAGCATCCTGATGATTTAGAAGAAAATTGCGTTCCCGTGCGGAGAATCCTCAAAATTTCGTCGACTTTTCAATCAAAATTGCGCTCCGTGCGGAGCGTGCTGAATATTTTGAATAAAATTGCGCTCCCGTGCCCAGCATCCTGAAAGTTATCTCAACGAATCGCGCTCCTGTGCGGAATCCCTCGAATTTTGAATAAAATCGCGCTCTCCTGCGGAGCATCTTCAAAATTCATCGATTTTTCGTTCAAAATCGCGCTCCCGTGCGGAGATTCCTGAAGATTTCGATCTATATAGGGGGGTCGTAGGCCCCCAAACCCATCCAAGAATTGTGAATGAAACATCATGTAAATTTACTTGATGTTTCATTCACAGTTTCGCCTTATCTGATTGCTTCCTAAGACTTCCTTGACAACTCTCAAAGTCCATGTAAAGTCAAATCGCAAGGGGTGTCCCCACAAGATTTTTCAGATACAAATCTCAAACCGCAAGGAATGTACCCCTAAGATTTTTCAGAGAATCAAGTCCCCAAACCTCAAATCGCAAGGGATGTTCAAGTCCCCAAATCTCAAATCGCAAGCAGTGTTCCCCTAAGACTTTTTTCGAGCATCAAGTCCCCAAATCTCAAATCGCAAGGAGTGTACCCCTAAGATTTCTCAGAGAATCAAGTCCCAAAATCTCAAATCGCAAGGGGTGTCCCCCTAAGATGTTTTCAGAGAATCAAGTCCCCAAATCTCAAATCGCAAGCAGTATTTCCCTAAGACTTTTTTCGAGCATCAAGTCCCCAAATCTCAAATTGCAAGGGGTGTCCCCTAAGATTTTTCATGATTTTTCAGAGAATCAAGTCCCAAAATCTCAAATCGCAAGGGGTGTCCCCCTAAGATGTTTTCAGAGAATCAAGTCCCCAAATCTCAAATCGCAAGGGATTGAGCGTAGTGAATGATTTGATTGAATTTTGTTTGTTGATTTTGGTGGTGGCGGCGGCGGCGGTGGTGGTGGGGGTCGTCATCCTAGTCTTCGCCATCACTTCTCCTCTTTCTCTATCGTAGTCATCGCAGGTACCGCCCTCGTCGTCCTCCTTGTTTTCGCTCTTGTTGTTTCCTTGTCTTCTCGTCGTATCTCGTCATCGCTGCTATTCGTATTGTTCTTGTGCTTATCAGACCCTCCTTCTCCTCTTATGTCCTCCTCCAATCTCCTAGTCCTATCTCCTGGTCTCCTCCTCCTATCTCCTCCGCCAATCTGCTCCTCCTTAACCGCATGCTGTTCCTCGTGGTGGCAGCGGTCATGATGGTGGTGGTTGTTGTGTTCGTCATTGTCGTCGTTCATGAGTGCGTGTCGTCAACGGCCGTCTCCGCCGCCGAGCTTTTATTTCGTTGCTATCATCGCCGCGTTGCTTGAGTTGTTGTTCCCATTCAAGACGAAGTTTTGTTTAAGTCTGGTCGTCGTGGCGCGGCTGCGGTTGTTGCCGACATTTCGGTTATCGTGTTCTATCGGGGTGGTGGTCGCGGAGGCGGTGGCATAGGCAGCGGCGGCTGCGTCAGCGGCGGAGGTGGTGGTGGTGGCGGCGGCGGTGGTGGCGGGGGGCGCGTTGCAACCGCAGCAGTGGTGGTGGTCCGACTTTTAGAGGCTGTGCAGCGCACAACTGCCAGGTGCTTGATGACGTGCTCAACATGATGTGGTGCTCGGGGCAGTGGCCTGTGCCGCGTAGGAGTCTACATCCAACCTGCTTGATGTGCGGGAGATTGGTTTGCGGCCCGCATAAGCAGATGGTTCAGCAGTTGGACGCCGGCCCCGTCAGACGACTGCATGACGGCACCCCCTTTCTAAGGCTTAATCCGAGTCGGATGTGTCGGCGCATCAGCAGTCCGTGGTCTTTGCCAGAGCAAGAGGTGACGGAGCACCCTGCTTGGGCAGAGGCGGAGACCGATGCCTTGATTGCAGCTGTGAAGTCTGCAGGCCATATGGGTTGGCCCGCTGTCCGCCAGCATTTGGAGACCAGTGGTTTCGTTCGCACAGATGCTCAATGCCAAGTTCAGTGGAGGCAGATCGCGGATCCATTGTGCAGAATGGATGGGCTCGATAAGATGGGGCCTCAAGATGGAACGAGGTTACGTGAGACCGGTGATGGCAACGTGGGAGAGCGATGGAACCTTGGCAGCTTATTGTGCTGTCACATGGGGTCCGTTCTTGTCGCGACAATATTTCGCAAATTGAGCATGAAAACCAAGGCAGTGGCGTGACCAAGCCATCATGGCAGAGATACAAGAACTTCATTCTGACTCTGAGAGACCCGCGTCGCAAGAACTGGGTGGAGGACTCATTGTATGGACGCCGCTTCTCTCCTGCTATCTCTCTTCGACCTCAATATGTCATCCACCCTCAGTCTTGTTACCAGACACAATCCAAGAAGACTTCCTCATTGGACTTTCAGCATTTTTCCGGACACCCATGACTGATCGAACTGGACTGCTGAACAAGGACGGGCCTGTGCCGAAGAAGATGACAACAGGGGAAGGTAACGTATTGCATTCACCTTAGTGTCAAGCGTAAGTTGCTGTTGGCGCAGATCCTCATCCCAAACAAAGCACAGTAGTCACTTCCAACAGCAGCTGTTGCGAACTAAACGGCAAGGACTTTCTCGAGGTACATACCTGTGTCAGTGCCCTGCCTCTCTTTTTGTCTAGGGTTCTAGTCAACTTTGAGACACTCTTGTGGAGTAGGCACCATATACTACAACTATTTTAGGGCTAAAGTATCTACTATATAGGTACATGGACCCTTTGGGAGGTTGCGATTAGGTTGCGATTTGGGCTTCAGGGCGGTGGATCATGACCCTAAAGCCCCATGATCTCAAAGGTTATATAAGATTTATGTGGGGTTATGTGGTCTAGGGCCTAGGGCTTATAGAGGATTTCAGGGGTTTCTGGCTGAGAGTTTGCTGAAGCTGTCGTGTTCGCCAAACGAGCCAAATCTGGAATGCATATGCAACCAATCATCGGGCCTCATATCATATGAAACTAAGGTTGCCATGGGCCAGTCAGTTGAATAGTGCCAATACAAAATACCACAAGTAAAGCGAATGCGAAACCCGCAAAACTGGGGTCCCCACGTCGACCTTTTCCGGAAGTATGGACATTTATACTTGGGGTTTAGGGTTTAGGTGCCTGGCCCATCAATACTTGACCAATGCCACGCGCAGCATGGGTCACATTCGTTGCATGAGAAACCTTTTCCTGGGTGCCTAATAGTGAATGCGGGATCGGTTGTTGGAATTTTTACAGGGGATCGTATGGGGGCTCTATACCACAACCCTTCATGGGGGGCCTTATAGCCTCCAAGTTTAAGGGTACCTGACAGGTCGAGGCCCTAAACCCTAAACCCTGAACCGTTACATTCGACACAGTAGAGACTTGCGTGGGTCTTTGAGCTGCGACTTTTTACAAATGCCAGAGTGCCAAGACTCAAGACAAACTGCAAACTGCGTGGCTCAGCAACGTCCATGGAAAAGACGCGGTTTGTTTGCCTTGTTTGGGCTCAAACCAGCTCTACGAGATTACTAAGGGTCCCAGTAGCTGCACATCTCACAATGCACTGTGAGGACTGCAGCTTGCGCCTGACGGTTCTGGAGCCAGTGCCGGACAGAGACCACAGCTTTTGCAAGAGTCTTGCTGCAGCCGCTCGCCTCTCAGAGAACTATTTCTGCGGAGCGTTGGGTGGATACAATCACGGCGGAGCAGGTGGCTGAAGGCAGCATGCAGGTATTTTCTTATGCAGATTAAAGCTATGTTGAGGGAGCCGAGGTGATGGATGCCCGTGCCGCGTATCTGGTTTCTCGCGCGCAGTCACGGGGCTGCCAGTTGGAGGTGCTTTGGAGCGGAGGCAGGTACTGAAGACACCCTTCTTCGAGAAAACGAGCTTGGGTCGCCCGAGGTAACGTCTTGGCACAACCAAGTCCAGCAATACATTTAGCCGACGTAAGAGCTGATATGCCTGCTTGGCAGAAATGTCAGCAGTGTTGACCCATTTGAAGTGATAGTCTGGTTGTCCCCGACATCCATGGCTGGCAGGGGCAGGGCATGAATCGGGTTATTCGACCTTTGAGTCTCGACCTCGTCGGTCGAGCTGGTATGAGAAATCTGTGAATGCTTGGAGAGAGCAATCCCTATGAATGCTGTTGTTCTCATCACGCGGCCACATGCGCAGATTTAGATGGGTGTGCAAAGGAGCTTGTTGACGACCCTTTGCATCTTGCTAGCTTCTGGCGGGATTGGTTGAAAAACGCCACGAACTCAAGGTTTCTTACCTTACTTTTCTTTTTGCTAACGTGAGCTTGCCAGGCATTGACTCCACGTCCCTGTTGGTGGCAATGCTACGTGCACTGTATCCTGGCTGGCGGCCTTGGAATTCTGACACAGGTTTTGAAGGAGCGTAGGGGTGTCCATGCAGGTCGAAGATCGGGAGGGTTGCGTTTCAAGATGAGTTCCAGGAGATAAGAAACACCATCCTGCGGGCATGATTGTCCGATGCAGTGCAGACTCCATCGTGGAATATCCTTGGAGATGACCTCAGTTGTTGGTTGCCTTTGATCATCAGCGTCTCAGCAGCTGTGTTTGACCAGCTGTGTTGCATAAGCGAGTTGCAAGGTTCCATGAGAACGTGCTTTTGCCATTGCATGAAGCTGGTGCCATTACAATCGAGCCTTTGGCAGACGCAGAGGAGACCGTCATGCCAGGTCATGGTGTCTTAAGAGGCAAGGATGAAGACAAACGTTCTGTCTCTGAGCAAGTGAGTGTGCTTGCTTGGTTCTCGGTCATACAAGGAGGAGACTTATTCGGAGCTGCTTCTGAAGTTGCCCATCCCGACAAAGTTACCACGTTCCAAGCATAAATAGCCAAGCCATTAGCACTTGACGTTGCAACTCTCCTTTTTCTCATGACTGTATGCAGCAGAATGAGTTTGCATTCGAATTCTTCTTGCAAGCATCCAGGGACGAAGGGAGCATAGGTGAAAATCATCAAGTTGTTTGGCTCAGCGCTATGGGGTTGTGAATGAGAATATCGCCAGCCTGGAGATCTACACCAGCTATATTTGCGAAAGTGCAGATTACGTGTCAAAAGCTTGCCCCATTTGTCAGAGGAGGTGTCAAAGCTCTGGGAAGCGCCCTCGTCGCGAATGACAATCACTGGAGAATGTGGAGATCAGATATTCGGGTCTCAGCTGCTAGAGGCGTACCTGTTGACCAAGCAGAACTCTGCAGTGTTCCATTTGGGTCGGTACTCAGCATTCCAGGCAGCCTTCGTCAAATCCGAGCTGACTGCGCTGTACGAGCATGGGCTGGATGCTCCCTGGCAGGAGCTCAGGGTTGGAAAGGCAATTCTGCTCCATGCAGTTGATCTGGAAAGGACACAGTCCTCCACGCTTTGCTGGACATGGGAATTGTGAGGCCCTCTGCTGCTTGCTAAGCCCAAGGTGTCCGCAAGTCACGCACGTTTTCTGATGACTTTTCGCTGTTCTCTGTCGTTGGGATCGGTCTTCTTCTACACGTGCCCTCAATGTGTTTCTGCGCATTTCGTGGGTTTGATTCCTGGATCTGGGTGCGTTTACATTGCTCTTCTCTGCTGCCCAGCCAGCCGCAAACCCTGTACAGTGTCGTTTCGCATGTTGTTCTTTTTTCAATGGTTTTGAATTGGAGCTTGATACAGTTTTCCCTTGGAAAAGTTATCCAAAGGCGCAACATATTGCGTGTAGTGGATAACGCAAGTTTTCAACAAACCATGGACCATGGCCATGCTCTCTGAAGGGTGCATCGGCGTGATCTTGATCATCTTGTTGGACGTTGATATCATTGGAGAATATTGGCGAAAACATACAAACACCTTTCAAGAGCTGACTCTTTGTAGATTACTCATCAATTTAGTGGAGCCCTGAATGCTACCTAGCCATTCTGCAAATGATTCCTTAGTCAATGCCAGTCAGTTAGGAATTGCTTGGGGTCCTAGGTCACACGCTTTCCATGGAAGCTAAGCACTTCAAGATCATAGATACCTGTTTCTTCAGAGATTGGCAATGGCAGTTGGAATTGGACACTTACAGGCAGGGCGTTCGAGACTACCTCCACGGCATGTGTCGACAGCACAGTTAAGGCGACTTGTCCAACCTCCCAATACTGACCCCTTTGACCCCATATTCCACGTCGCATTTATCCTAGATGGAAAGATGGATCGTTTATGCAGAGGCACTTCAAGACTGGCCCTCCAACCCCTTATTGGCCTCCCTTACACAGAGGCATAGAAGAGAGTATTACCAGCACCCGCAGGAGCTTCAGGACACTTCAGATAGCCGCAGAGGCTAATCTTCCCTGCAAGATTGCTGCAGCGCACTCATGCCAATTGTACCTTTTTACACTGCGCGGTGCAGTTCTAGCGTTGGAAGCTCATGCTGACCCATAAACAAGTCCGAAACAAATTCGCGAAGACCCATGCCAATACCACATCTGAAAAGCAAAAGACCCTAAACCCCATAAACCCTCTACTCTACAAATCCCAGACCCAATACTGACAAAGCTGGAAACTTCAAGCTCTGAACGCTGTAACACCTTCAATTCCAAACTCCAACTGCAGCTGAGTACGTTGAGGGGGCATGGGTGGGATGGAGGCGTGCCACTGCGGATAGGGCAGCCTCAAAAAGTACAAAATCTGGGAGGCAGGGAAATGTCCAAGACGTGCTTGTCTCAAATGCCAGTCCATACATGCCGGGGTGCTTGGTAGACCCCAGGCATGAGGATCGCAAGTTGGCAGACGTTCAACTGACGGCTGTCAGATCAGATCCCGAGCGTTGTCATTATAGAGACTATGGATGGCAACTCTGAAGCCAATAAAAGTGATGGGTCGCGAGACCCCAAAGCTTAAAAAGTAGGGATGTCGGAACACAGAAGCCGCAGGGAGTGAGCTCCCTAAACTCTACAGTAAATAAAAAGATGGCTGGCAAGGAAGCACAACACTGCGGAGGGGGTGATGGAAGTACAGGGAATGGAGAAAATTGTCACATTGCTGCCAGCGATCTGCTCCAGTGCGTGAGGGTTCATGCGAGCCCTGCAGGCCAGATTACAAGGAACGTTGGCTTCACTGGTTCAGGCCGGGATTTGGTTGCTTTTGATCAAGTGGCTAGGGCCCCAACTGCCTTCTAGGCCATTCGTTGAGAAGTGCCCCCTGCGAATCGTCTCCGCATTTGACTTGCCAGCGGGCTGCACGCAGAAACTAGCACTGTGGAATCTTCACTTTTCTCTTTTGAGTTGAAGGCTCTGGTGGCTCAACGTGGCCTGCAAGTGGCAGACTGTTTGCCTGAGGCCTGGCAGTCTGTTTGAGAAGACCGATGCCCGTTGAGTGTAAGATTTTGCAAGTCCTGGAGATTATTCCAACGGCGACCACGCCTTTGTTGGGCTGACCTAGACCGCATCGTTCACTTTTTCCAGACGGAGGCGTCGAGAAAGCCTTTCTTACTTCAGGCCTGAACATGTGCACACATCTGGCAGGACTTCCAGCAGTGGTCCTTTGTACCTGAGAACCATGCAGCCAAGATGCCGGATCACAGAAAATGGCTGCGACCTCTGAAGGCTGGTGGGTCAAGTTCCTTGCATCTTGCAGCCAAGGTCAACTTACAAGCAACCATTGAAAGAGTACATCCTGGACTTCACTCAGGCGCACCCATTTACCTCAAACTGACATCTCGGTGGGGAGAAGGGCTAACAAAAGACCAGAAATGTGCCAATCTGATCAACACCGCACTCTGAAGCAAGCCTGCGCTGTCAATCATACATTGCACCCGACTGCAGAGCGTTAAATCAAGCTTGGTAAACGTATCTATGCTCAAACAAACCTCCAGGTGCAAACACATCGGAGGGGTGCTCTGGTATTTGCCTAGGTCAGGAGAGTGTAAGCGCTGAAGTTGAAATTGCGTGAGCTTATCGCCGCAAAACAAGATGATGTTGGGCACACCAGACACTGCTTTCAGATCAGGGTGCCGCTGTCACCACATGCATGGTACAAGCAGGACAAAGAGTACTTTGAGAAGAAGCTGAAAGCTGGATCCCTCTGCCAGGCAAAGAAAGTGACGTCATGCATCAGCAGGGATGTCATGACACTGCAGGTGAACGATGCCAGCCGCTTTGTAATCTTGGGAATTGATGACAAATTGAACGTTTTGAGGTTCGGGCAAACATGCTGCTTGCCTGTATAGCTGAACTCTGTACAACAATTCGTTTGATGCGCGAAGTTCTCGATTTTGAGGTCTGAGCATGCTCCAGATGGACCGGCACTATCCAGAAAGGGCGTTGCACAGAGCGTTCTTGAAAGCAAAAGATGCGGGTGCGTCTGCAATCTTATGCTACTGTTGATGGAGGAAATCTTGCACCACCTTAAGTCAAAGTAGTTTAGGGCCCCACGTGGTGCAACATTTGCTCCATCAACAGTATCTTCTTGTAACTCTCTACGTGAAGTCTTGTCTAAAGTTGACCCACACGAGCTGGGACTTGGTCACGGGCAGCAGTTGACGTGTAGCAAGCTGGGCCGCGCAAACTCATTTGTACCTTGTATGAGCTTGGTGGCAAAGCCGTGGCAGAGCGCAAAGATCAGGCTTTGGAAGGTGTTCGTGCGTAGCTCTCTTACAGCACTGGACTTGGGCATCATGCGTTGCTGGTTTACTGCAATCAAGATGCGAGCGCAGGAAGTCAGCTTCGTAGCAGTTATCAGTATCGCGCTGCGTGCCACGCTAGGTCAATGCCGTAAAGGACCAACGCCTTTCCAGAATGCAGCTCAGCATGCTCTTCTGCCGGGGGACACCAAGACCTTGCAGTTGGGACGTCCGTTGGGTAGCCGCAGCTGCCCTCGGCTCCAGTGAGTTTTCTTTTGAAGCTTGCAGCTCGCCCTTAACAGTGTGGCGGCGCCTATCCAAAAACCTCTGAGCCACTCATTGCTGTGGCTACCCTCTTCCATTTCGTGGAGCAAGGACATCAAGGGCGCCATCAAACACAACGCTGGGGGGAGCGGCTCGAGAACAGTTGGACGAAATTACCGAGTAGTTTTTTGCCAATGCCGGTGCAGGTGCGCATATGCTGTGGGACTCCCCATGGCATGCATCCACTGATGCTGGAATTTTTGTCGGGGAGTCGAATCTATGCAATTTCGCTGGGTGCCGATGATCGGGCTGACAACCTAGAATTAGAACATATGTGTCGGCAGACGCAACCTTTTGGCCTCTTGGCGCAAAATCTCCAACTTTGTGACTTCAATGCGCGCCCTTCAATGCTTAAGGACACTGCAACGGGCATGCACAAATGCTGGGTTCCAAGGTGTTGCCAGGGGAGGGCCATTTTTGTGGGAGTAGAACTCGTGAAAGAAGAAGAGAGGAGGCAGAAAAGAAAGGGAGCAAGAATAAAATGACCGGGAAGGAAGAATGGAAGAATAAAGAAATAACATAGGAAGAGAAAGAAATTGAAGTACGTAAAGAAGGAAAGCAAGACGATGCTTGGGGCCAGGAAGGATGATGTGGATCATATTGTTTGCATGGGGCTGCGCCCCCTCCAATTCGCCCCGCTTGTTTAAGGCCATCCAGAATCCGAGCTTGTCATTGTCAATCGATTTCGATGATTTTATGGCTGTCATGATTTTTCATAATGTTTCATCATGTTTGATCACTTTCAGCAATCTCCATGACTGTTAATCATTTTCATGCGTTTTCGCAAGTTGCCATGAATTTTCATGATTTTCAGTTTTCATAACTTTTCAAAAGTTGTCATAATTTAGATGTTTGTTTATCAGAATGTATCATGTCTCATCCAAGTCATCCACGTTCATCAAGTCCATCATTTTCCATCGTTTTCCGTCATTCAAAAAACCTCATGTCCTGCAATGGTTATGCTTGCTGCAAGGGAGGATTCTGGGCATCAATCATGTTGTTTGCGAGTGGGGGCGGGGCCCTCCCCCCCTCCTCCCCCCGTCCCCCCCCTCCCCCCC